TAATAAATAAAAATTGGGCGTTTTTGCGCCTGAATCAGGCAATTCGACTTGCATTATATAACTGACAGCTGATTGCTGTCGATCGATACACGTCGATACGTCGAAGGAGGCTCGTAGTTATGAGAAAATGATGTACTCACTAATGCGCTTAGAGGCAGAAAATATGTATAAAATGTAGCCTGGCGTACAACCTGCTTATTCGGTAAATCTTGATTTTCATCTTGTTTTGAGTCATAGAATACGATTCTCAAATATTGCCCACTGGTAGGTTTACACCCTGAACACACATGGACCGCTGGTCTACTTGGAAAAACGTAGTCAACATCATGGTAACGTCACTTTGCTTGGCAATCAAAATGATTAAGAACTAACGTGTAAAGCAGTCACATATACTACGTAAAATTTAAATTGAGTGGCTAGACTTGTTGCTTTTTGGTCACGTGTAGATTCTGAAGGAGGAGCTTAGCTACTTGATGTTTGCTACGCTTTCCTAACATTAAAAGCCTATGAAACTGGCGGTCCATGTGTATATAGTCAAAGATTTTATCTAATGTCATATACGGCAGATAAATAGACACATTATATAAGATACTCATCTCTTTTTTGACATACTATCTGTCTCCGTGCGAATTAAGTAAAATCCATTTTTTGTTCCACTCTATCAGGTACGCTGCAACGACTTATTTCGAGTCAACGAACGCTCGACTAGCATTCCCATGTTGGGATGAGCCCGCCTACAAGGCGAAATTTAACATCCGGTTGACGCACAATAAGGAATTTCAAGCGATCTCTAATATGGACGAACTAGATACACAAGATAAACAAGATGGCATGATAACCACTTCGTTCAAAGAAACTCCACCGATGTCTACTTATTTGGTAGCATTCGTGGTAAGCGAATATAAATTTAAGGAAGATAAAGACCACAACTTCACCTATAGGGTGTGGACGAAGGCGAACGCGATAGATCAGACTGATTACGCTTTGAAAATGGGTATGAAGATTCTAGAACAGCTGGATTTGTACACGAATATTTCGTACCAGACATTCATGCCAGAAAAAATAGATCAAGTCACGCAGAAGGATTTCCTAATCGGCGGCATGGAGAATTGGGGACTCGTGATTTATAGGTATTTAGAAGCAATGAACGTCGCGATCAAAGTGCAACGAGTTTTATCGCTCATCGATCTGATTCGAACGTTCGAAGTAGAGATTACTTTCTCGATGGAATTAACCCTTTCGCGTCGACAGTTCAGCCCGCCAAAGTGCCGTCACCGAACGGAATTTCCGTGGATGACCGTGTGGATGCCGGATATATTCGGCGCTCGAAGCGAAAGGGTTAAGGAACAATGAGAGTTCGCAATACAGAGATAAGGAAACACAGTATCGAATTAAAAAAAATACTTGCGATTCTCCTCTTCTTCCAATGAATCACTCGATCAAATTATATGTTCGAATCACCGGATGCTAATTTATTGTCATTAATGGACTGCGGATTTTATACATACATACAAAAATTAAATGTGCAGGAAATATAATGAATACATGCAATATGCAAAAATCTGAAGAATATGGAATGTTTAATACAGATCGTTATTTTCGAATGATGAAAGAATTCTGAATCTATATTTCATTTTTTAAATTGACAAGTCAAATGTATTTTGTATAAAAGTCCGCAGTATTAATAATGATTAATTTTTTAATTCTTTGTTAGAACGTGTTGCACATTATCCACGTTCAAGTTTTTAAGTTATTTAGTATTTACTCATAAGTTAACATTCCAAATACTATGCTTACTTCATACTAAGTCGTTAAATAGATTTCATTCCAGACAAGCAAATACATAAATATTAGAACAAGTGGTACAGTTACTTATACTATTATAATTGGAAATATACTATTCAAATAATAGAATCTTTTAATATAGTACTGTTTTAGATAAAAAGTGTAGATGTTATAATGGGCACTTGTCGCCAAATCTAGTCGATTGTAATGAGACTGCACATCTCCGAACTCGAATTTCCATTTCAGAGAAGATAGACTTCTATACGACGAGGTTTTAAGTACAACCCGCACGAAGATGAACGTACTCAAGATCATCGCTCACGAATTCACTCATCAATGGTTCGGTGATCTCGTCAGTCCGAAATGGTGGAAATATATTTGGCTGAACGAGGGATTCGCCACCTATTTCGAATACTTCATTGCTCACAAGGTAAATACGATACTCCAATGCTCCTTACAAAAGGCTTTGACCGTTATGTTTTTTGACATGGGATTTATAAGTGTTCGGGCAGTGTCATTTATTTATTCCCCTAAGAATTACCAGCTTTTAAATTGACGTTTTCTCGGCTATAAGCATTGCACTTGTTTTTTTTGCAAGACTTGATTCTTTGGAAGTCGATGATAGGAAATATTTAATTTTTCAGTATTACCATTCCAGCTTTTACAATTTTTAACAGCGCAGCCTAGCATTTTTGTCGTTTTAATCAGTTTTTATTTTTAAACACAAGTATTCATTTCTCGATATGACCGTCCTATGGAATGAAGCAGTAAGTGACGAAAATGGTACCACCGGAAGACTATCTTATGTGTTTCTACCATGATTGCTGTCACTGGCAGGCACTAATTCCGTTCAGTTGTACATCTTTAAAGGCCAATTCAGTTGATTTCACAATTTTTACTCATTGACGTATTTTCTTATAATTTTACTTGTCAATTTAACATAATAGAAGAACAAGCCATGTGAACAGAAATTTAGTCATTTATGTAGTATCGTTTAAAGGTCGAATTCTGAAAACCAAATATTCTACAGTCATTACGGCCTACCAAGTCTAGATATAATTTTCAATACGGTAAATAATGATGAAATTATGAAATTCAGGTAGTACCTGAATTGCGATTGGACGATATGTTCGTCGTGGAGAGCATGCAACAGACTGCGATGGTTGCTGACTGGTCGCCGAAGCAACGTCCTATGAATCAGGACGTAACTAGCCCTCAAGAAATCAGTGCGCTCTTCGACAGCATCGCCTACAGCAAGGGTAAAAAAAAAGAAATAAAAGACATCGTTTTTATCTCGATTAGATACCTGAAAAGACAAGTAAATACATAAATTTGAACGGTAAAGGCAATCGCGACGGTCTTATTTTAACGTCAGATAAACAGAAATATGGGAACAGGGAACAAACACCGATAGATTAAATTTCGTAATACGTAATTCAATGATACATTTTTAGATCATTTGCAATAGCGAAAATTTCTTGACATGGAAGACTTCGAATTAATGTAAATATTACAAATTAGGGATCCTCCAACAATGAGAACCCTGGGGGATCCTAGATTTAACAAAGAGGTCTTGAGTAAACAGTATTATATTTCATTAGTTAATGTGTACAATTTAGAAAGCAACAAGGATTGACTGTGTCAAGAGCTTCGCGAAAATTAGTATAAATAGCATTCACTTGCACGCTCTTTATCATAAGTGCTATTAATTCCTTGCTGGTTGTTTATTTAATTTTCAACAAATACTTTCCACATTGAATTGTACTTAATTCGACAGTAAATACAAATAATTATTTGTATGACTCGTAGCGGCTTCTGTTATTCGAATGATGTCCCACGCCATGACGGAAGAGGTTTTCCAGAAAGGCTTGCAACAGTATCTGAAGAGCACGTACGTATAGTTTTACTCGCGTATGAAACATCCTTTATTGAAATAAAATTTTTTCTTGATCCCCACCTATCAAAAATCGGAACTAACGTTCCGCATTTCATAGATAAACAAGAGAAAATTCGTTTTAACAATGAGTTTAAGGTACATTTGAGGTATGTTTGAGTTTAAGGCACTTTTGTCCTTATTTTATTCAGAACAACCAATCTTTGGATTGAAGTTAGCTGAAATTCTAAACATAGTTATTATGATCTTCGTTTCAAATTATAACAGTGCTTGACATATCAATTTTTAGAGTACATATACATGTCATTTGTTTTCAAGCATTTTCATATACTCATACTTCTTGCTCCACCTATTAAAAATTCCGATGTTCTGAATAAAATAATGACCAAAGTGCCCAGCTATGAACTTTAAACTCGACAGTAAATTGAATTTTCTCTTGATTATCTGAGAAGTAGTTATGTAGTATTGAATGGCCCAACTGCATACTTTGCACTATTCTTAGGGATGAAGTGTACAAATTGCATGAAAAAACGTGGAACAAAATAGCACGTACATAATTCAATAAATCACTAGATGTATACCAAAATTTAAATGCGTAGCCTATAAATTTTCTATAAAATATTGGAACGAACTTTCTTCTCGAACCCAATATCTCTGAACGATAATTAAATAATTCTTTGCAATTCCAGTTCAAAGTTCTTCCACTTTTATCTGTCCTTTTTCAATTTCTATACTCTTTTCTTTACTTTTTCATGTTAATAAATAGTAATATCTGTTGTAGCGCGTTAGGTAATGCGGATTCGAATGACCTTTTCGGATTCCTCCAGAAAGCCTTGGATGAGAGTAGGATTAAATGGAGACAGCCTGTGCAAGTTATAATGCATAACTGGATGGAATACCCGGGATATCCGACGTTGACAGTTAAAAGAGTCGATGGGGGCTACCAAGTGACACAGGAACAATTCGTGACCGTGCTAATGGAAATCGACAAATACCGTACCAAGTGGTGGATACCAATCACTTGTGTTGAGGAATCGACTCCAGATTTCAGTAATACGATTCCCGACGATTGGCTCGCCCCGGAGGAGGAATCACATATCGTGCCGTCTGATATAAAAGAGGGGTGGTTCATTTTCAACACGCAGCAAACAGGTACGTTGCATAGTTCTCTAAAACATTCTAAATGAATTTTCAATTTTTAAGGTAAATATAGTAATAAGTAAATAAGTAAAGTCGGTATAATGAGTAAGTAAATATGATAGTAAACAATTATTATTTTGTATTAAAATTAAGATATATATTTCGTAAATTAATCTCTTCAACTGCTTTAGAGTGTTCACTTAATGTTATGCCTGACGGTATTTCAAACTTTAAAGCACTGAGGAACTAGGGTAGTCACGTGGCTTTCCTATAATTTTTTAATAAAATTTGGACTTTTTTTCCCTATTTGATCGATAACCAGGCAAAATAGTATGAGCAAAATTATGAATCGTCGAGTACCCCTTTGAGAAGACAAAAGTTAAGTCTAGCTTGCTCTGGCTTTGATTTTGTTCAAAGCAATCTCTTTTGGACATAAAATTACTTATAAACAAAGGCATTATAACTATGATTTTCCATATATTTTGTAATGCTCATATATATAATATATAATAAATATCAGCATATTTTGATTAAATTATGAATAAAAAAATATTACACAATGAGAACTGAAATGAACAATTACTGAAATATTCTCAAATTAATAATCTTCTGTTAAGAAACATTTTATGTGATCAGTTTCTCGTACTACTCATAATTATTCATTCAGTATTTGGTGTTTTATTATGAAGGAAACAAAAAACAAATCACAGCACTGCATGTTCTCCTAGAAGCCATACAACGTTTATTTGAACCTTACGAGTTATTACCTTACGAGTTATTGCAAGTCATCACTTTCAGTATCATAAAAAATCTCCTCCATTTCTCGACTAAAACATGAACTTTCTCTCGGCTTTCTCTTATCATTAGTTTCCATCTAATACCTCATTTTCCCAAAAATTATGCACTACTACAGAATTTTTCAAAAATGGTATGTGATAGACCATTTCGGATTCATTGTTGACATGAGAAACTCCATCAGAAGTGTTATATTTATCTTATGTAATTGAGCTTCAGCAACAAAACAGAATTAATAGATTAATATAACATTCGCATTTCTTTTTACTATTCTCAACTGCTCACTGATCCATGCATAAAATAAATCAACAAAAACACAGCTAACAATTTCATAGAAAAAAATCGGTATTTTCGAAAAACAGAAAATAACAGATATAATTAACGGAATTTTGTATTCTGTGTTAGGTTACTACCGTGTGAACTATGATGTAGAAAATTGGGAACTGTTGATAAAAGAGCTGAACATGGGGAACGACACCAAAATACACGTGCTGAATCGTGCACAGATGATTGACGACGCGTTCAATTTAGCTCGTGTTAACAGTTTGAACTACACGGTCGCTTTGAACGTGGCCCTTTACTTAACGCACGAGGCCGATTACATGCCCTGGCAACCGGCGTTCAGACACTTGAGCTTCCTGAGGAACTTGTTACGCACCTCCGAAGAATATCACACTTTCATGGTAAGAACTGCAAATACAAAATCAAAGATGCAAAATGGCATTTACTTCGTTTCTTCGATAAATGCAAAGCCTTCGCGAGAGTGACTCATCATTAGATTGCGATTGTTCATACATTTCTGGGAATTTTGAATAATTTAAAGTAATACAGTATGCAGTAAAATATAAGGAAATATAACATATTCGACGTAAAATACAATTTATAATATTCTGGGAATTTTGAATAATTTGAAGTAATACAGTATGCAGTAAAACATAAGGAAATATAATATATTCGACGTAAAATACAATTTATAATATTTAAAGGAAAAAATGAATGTTTATATGCATTTCGATTCTGTACTTCTACTTATAAAAAACAGGTATATGCGAAAACATGCGCAATCTATTTGTTATACAGGATTATTGTTGAACTGGAAGGGTCTGGTTTAAGGGGGTAGATAAATAGTCAAGGAAAACCATTGTAATTATGATTCTTATCCATTTTATAACGTTTATGTTACTAAATATCAGCATGCTGTGATTATGATTTAACTTTCGCCTTTCCAAAGAGATACCTGTTGATCAAGAAATATTTTTATACTATAAGGACGAAAGATCCGTAACCCCATATTTTTGGCTAATTTAATGGTTAACATTGACATTCTGTCTAATTGCGCCAGTATTGGAGTCTATAACCCCGTTATATTGTAACCATTATTTGAAGACAGTTCAACCAAAGTTGAATTCTCAATTCTTAGTTGATCAAGAATTAAAAATTGAATTTGAATTTTTGACAAGAAAAAATTTTAAGTAAAGAATAAACGGTTGTATGCTAATATATCAAGAATGGCTCGAAAATCCTGAAATGAAGTAAGTCGACATTTTCTTCTCTTAATTGATAACAATTCATATGCTCTTTCTTCTATAAATGAAACCATATAAGACCAGATTTTTATGCAAAATATTACTATCATGTAAAGAGAAAGCGTTTGTTCGTATGATAGCAAAAATCTGAAAAACGACTTAAGTATTCACAACGAAATTACGCGCAATAGGTTTCCTATGTAGGGTGTTCCTGAATTAAATGATCAAACTGTACCAGTGTGTTTACTATCACTGAACGAAAGTAAGATGAAGATGAAATTCGGAGAGTGATAAATTCAGTTTCTTCTCTTCTAAGATGTCAAGCTTGCATTCGTAATGGAGGATAACACTTTGAAATGGAAGCAGACTTCTTTTCGATGTGCTTGAAGCTTGATATTCAACATTTCAAATAGTATACATGGCTAGAAGTAACAGGTTTCGTGAATACCGTCGTCTCATTGTTATATTCCGATATACCAGCAGTGAACTCGTTATTGACTTTAGATTCATTTGTTTATCATAACTTTTTATAAAGCATTTGCAAGCCAATGTATATATATCATTTTGTTGTTATTGTTACTCATAGAACATATTGGTGAAGTTTGATCGCTTAATCTGGGGACACTCTGTATAGTCCAAAGTGTTATAAGATATATTTATCTATGAAACAAATAACATTTTTATAAAGACCGAAAAAGAGTGAAAATGGGTTTTTACCTTTATGTTAATATTTGTTTAATGTGAGGAGGTGTTCTAGAGATTTTTGCTTCAGATATTACGTAATCAACTCCTTAAGGGAGTTCTGTTGATAGTAGAATTAACAATCAGATTTTGTTAAACTTGCTAGATAAAGCTATTGAAAAGATGTGGATAAATTCTTAAACACAAGAGTGCCTAAAAAAATATATAGTAAAGATTTCATTTTTACATATTTTAAGTCTTATGAGAAACTATTTATATAATGCGAAGCACTTGACAATCAGATATTGCTGGAAATTCTTTATAAAAAATCAAATCTCTACTAAGAAGAGTTTACTTGAAAATTATTTTTCATTATCAAGAGTCGAAATAAATTATTTATGTGAATATAAGTGCAACTGCAAAGTAAGTGCAACTTCTACAGCAAGTTGTTCATAAGCCGTGATATAAAATACGTAAAAATAGCATTTGTACTTTCTTTTAGGCACCCTTAATCCATACAAATTTAACTACGTTTTTTTAAAAGCTTTAAAATCTGGTTATTAATTCCTTAAAAACTAACTTGTAGATTTTTCGTAATTCACTTTCTATTTGGCTGAAATGTGTTTTTGATGTTTAACGAGTTATGGGTTTGATTCGTTCGCAAACGTTACCCGTTCAAATACTTACAAATGAATTTCAGGATTTGATCACCAGTCATTCATTAAAGTAATGAAAATATGTAAAGTGTGTATTTATAAAATCCTATTTGAAATTCCATGACATAGCGACTGTATTTCTGTCCACGAAGCATTTCTGTTCTATACATTTTCAATCCTTCATGTACATGATGATTAGTGTAGGAGTAACCGCAACGGCGGATGATAGTAAACTACAATATCAATTTAAAAAATGTGTTTTAACCAGAAATTTCTGCGATTTTTTTTAATATTGCAATATGCACTTTGCGTACAATTGTATTGTTGTTATTTTTTTATTATCTTTTGAGTATTCGTTATAGTCGATGAAATATGATTCTAACATAATTAACTATATTGCACAATATTTCAAAATCCTGTCACAATTTTTTTTTTAGTTTCTTGGCGATGTAGTTCCATTCCACTAAACGCAATAAGAACACATTAATATAATTTCAAAGCTATTTAGCTTTTCGATTTTCTACAAATTTTGCGTACGAGTGTAATAACATGTAAATTGTGGTTTCTTTGTGCAAAGTAAACTATTTGTAGAAATGTGTTTTAAATAGATATTTTTTTAATCTTTCTCGAAATACATTAAGTATTTCGTATATTTCTATGCAATAGTGTTTATATTAAATTTCCTCATAAATGCATAAAATTGGCAACATGTGAACTACTACTCTGCAACTATGTGACCATTAATGTTGTATTCATATCTTTTGATAAATAACTTCTTCCAACAAATTATTAACATAATCTTCTGCACAGATTGGACGTTAACCTGAAGAACGAAATTCTCTGCGCTGGAGTTAGGAGCGCGAATGAGAGCGCATGGTCTGATACTCGAGTTCACATAACTGAATCTGTGCACGATGCGAACGATAAGAAGAATCAGCTGATGGTCCTAGCCTGTTCCAATTCGTCTGAGATTCTGACGAAATACCTAAAGTTAACTCTCGATTCAGATTATCCGATCGATTTCAAGACCGCTGCGATAGACGTGGTGTCCAGATATCCGGCCGGTCCCCAGCTTGTTTTCGATTTCCTGCTCAAAGAATACAAACGCATCACTAAAATGTAACTAACTTCGTACCTTTATTTTTTATACTGTGGTCATTGTTATGTTTACTTAAGGTTGTGTGAGCCATGAGACCTCCGCCAAAAGTTTAAGAAACGTGATAAGAAGCTATGTCCAATATGTGGGGTTGCTTACTTTATTTTTACTTACTTTTTGTGATGCATCTTAAGTAATATCCTCGAAATTCATATTATCTCAACTTTAAAATATTCTCAAAACATGTATTAACAATCGTGCAAAATTACAAAATTCTCTCAGTGTTGCACTTATATTTGTTCATGAATGAAATCAAAATTTTTTTATTCAACATAAGAACTCAAGATGTGACAATTTTTCTAATAGCCTCGTAAGATTTCTAAAATTTTGCAGTGTTATATTCATGTAATACGTAATGATTGTTAAAATTTGAATGCTATGTCACTATCTTTACTTAAGAATTCATACAACCTTAAAAGAAAAATGAAAACGATGCTAAATAATTATGGCATATGAGTGTGAATCTGTATGTAATATAACTGATGTAATTTCTTTTCTTCGTGATTTCAGACCGAATTTCAAAAACGCCATAGGAGAGGTCGTTATAGCGATTGCTGGAGGAATTACGACTCAGCAGCAGAATTTTGATGTAAGTCCGATTTCATAGTCGATCTTTCTAAAAATAGATCTCGTTACATATCCTCTTGTTTCATGCATCATGGTAGTCCACCTAAATATGAACACCTCAATATTTTCTTCATTCGTAATGATAGGAAAAATGTTTTTTATGCTATATAAATGCTATCAAAACATAAATGTTGCAAGAGTTTCTTTTCTCAACATCATTTTGTTCTAAGTTTTTAACGTCACTAACGCGTTTAGACGTATTAGTGACCTTAAAG